TTGTGGGAAGCCCATGCCAGAGCAGTTCATCAGGACTGTATCCCGTGGGTGGGACCCCACAGCACAGAGGACGAGAATGACTGAGAAGAAGCGCTGTAGACTGACCATAACCCTCATTCCCCCGTTCCCCTGTGCCACTCGGGGAGAGGAGGTGGAAGAGGGTGGATGGGGGGGGGGGAAGGTGCTTTTGGTTTCTTTCCTTTGTTTCTCACTTCTCTACCTTGTTAGTAATAAGCAATATATCTTACTATCTCCCTATGCCGAGTCTGTTTTGCCCGTTACAATAATTACTTCGTGATCTTCTCGTCCTTATCTCAACCTTTGAGTCCTTTTCACATATTTTCTCCCCATTCCTCTTTGAGGAGGGGGAGTGAGAGAGCGGCTGTGGTGGAGCTCCGCTGCTCACTGGAGTGGAACCACGACACAGCCACACACGGATCATGACATACATCTTTCATATATGATGATACTTTTCAAATGCATGCAAAAAATGTTTATTGGTCTCACTTAAATTCATGAATGAGCCTATGCATGATACAGCATGTCTGTCCTTGCTTGGCTGTATGTAAGTGAGAATGAAAACCTGTGCAGGTGAGCTAGACACTTGGTCATCTTGACACTCTTCTTACTGCAAGCTAATCTACCAAACTACCAGACTACCAAAGCAAAAATAGAATGCAAACATTGCACAACTTCTGTAGAGAGACAAATCATCTGTGTGTTAGATCTGCAGTGAGCACAGATTATACTTGAAATGTTTTATCTGCAATATGAATATTAAATGTAATAATTAAAAGCAGCTATGAACCAGTACTTCTCCGATCCTATTAAAACAAGGGTGGAAATGCAGAATATGTTGTATAAACCACACCTCCAAAAGGCAATACCTAAATGGTGATGCATTGTGACAAGATAGTTAACGAAGTGGAAGGATGAACATCTGTCTCCTGCATGTGAGTTGGCAGGTAAAGTGAAGATTTGAAGTACATGAAGTCTTACAGAGAAACCTGCAGCATACAGTCTCTCCCCATGCTTACTTCTAAATCTGGACTTCTTCCATTGTTATTCTAAAAGGATGAACTGGCAGAATTAGAAGCTTGACTGACTGAGAAGTAAAAGGTAGTTTCTTACATGCCTGTCTGGCAGAATAAGATATTTATATTCTGATCACAGAATAGAAATGAGTATAATTTAAAGTTAAGATGTCTAGAAGTAAGGATTGGAAGGCCCATTGGGAAAAGAGTGAAGGAATGTGAAAACAGAAGCTGTCATTCTAATAAGAAACAGTTAATATTACATTTGGATGTATTGTACATTCAATTATTAGAAGACCCAAAAACAGTATGTGATGAGGTGTTATATGTTATTAGTTTTATTATTCCACTTCTGATATTACAGAAGTAAATGTTTATTAAAAAATAATAATTATATAGCGAGAGGTTCTAAGAAATTGCTTTCAAATTTGCCTGGAGTGAAAGCCAGAGACTTCACTAGAAAATTAAAAAAAAAATCTTTCTGAATTCTTAACATTAATGTTGATGTTAATTCTGCTTTCATATATGTGGATATGGTAGAAGCAGGCACTAGGGTAGTCAAGGGCTATATTTAAAATAACGTGTAAGACTCACGAGCCCTCTGAGAGAAGAGATGGTAAACTTAATAAAATGTTAATTTACGTTGGGCTGAATTCTTGTACTCATGGTTGAAAGTTATTGCATCTGTAGAAAAACTCACATAAGAAAGATTTTTAATTAGGGACATTCTAAATTCAGAACATGTAACTTCGGTAGCGTCCAAGAGGTAGTAAGGGTTTTGACAATAGCTAATAACTTTGTGTTGCTTCAAAGGCACAGTAACACTTCTGCTGTCCCTTTCTCTAAATGTCTTGGAGGAAACATGAGGCAGGTGAGGAGAATTTCTTAGCAGTGTGAACACAAAAAAATTCTTTCTGGCAACAATGTATTCAGCACTTTTGCTTTAGCTCTTCCTTACTTCCTCACTTGAGGCTACAACCTGAAGATGATGCTGGGGAAAAACTTACAAATTATGTTCACTATAAGTATGTTTTAAAAGTTTATTGCTCTTAAAGGAAAGGGATGAGAGAAGCTGAGTGATTGGGATAAAGGACCTAAGACTTTTCCAAATATAAGTAGGTTAGGCTAGGTAATGTGACAACCATTCAAAGCCTCACTTTTCTCTCCCCACACATAGAATTTTCATTGCATTTGGCCAAATACAGCCACACATGACTGAGCACAGGATTTCCGTTGCAATGTTACAAGTCAAGTCAGGGAGGATGCAAATTCCTCTTTGGTGAAACCACTGGAATATTTCCAGAGTAGGATTATCCCAGCAGTCTGATTCTGAGCAATAATAGATGTCAGTGAAGAACAATGGCAGTTTAAGCAGTACAAACCTATTTGTTTTCAAGTGGGTGATGGACAGGTTTTTGTTGTTGTTTTTTTTTTGACAGTAGAAGAGCACAGGAATATGGACCACGTAGCTGCTGGTTGCTGTGGTAACCATCAAATCACATTCTCCAAAACCTTTCTATTTAATTATATACATCACTGACAATCAAGTGGAGTAAATTTCAGTTTTTCTTTAAAACTCCAGAGTGCAAAGGGAAAAGAGGCAAGTTCATTGCAATTTTAACATTTCTCTTTGTCACTGATGTGCTTTTGAAGAGTATTTTGTCCTTCTTTACAGATGTTTTTGCTGATTTTCCATCTGGTTTTATTGATATAGTGAATTATTGTATTGGGTTGTAGTGCCACACAGTTAAGGGTTAGATGTTTATCATTGTTTCTGCTATATGTTGTTTCCTTTATAACCTAATTCTCCAGACTTCTTGATATACACGATTTGTTCCCAACCTGTGTGCTATTGGAGTTGCATTTCACCTTTGGAAACACCTGCATCATGCTGAAAATCTTGTCTGCTTGAAGACTGACTGAAAAACATGAACTATATACAGAGACCATTATATATTTCCATTGAAAAAAAAGACAAGATACCAAAATCAAAACTCAGTTTGTACATTGAATCAAATATGCTTTATGAAATGCTCTCATATGCCAAGGTTATTTAGGTGTATAATGATGTGATTGCGCATCAGTAGTTCTCACATCAATCTGTATCATTCAGATAATTCAGATAATTTTTTTTCCTAAGATTTATTTATTTATAAATTAATATGTATTATTTATAATACATAAAATATAATAATTTACAATACTTTATAATAAATAACAGTACAATATATTTGTGTAAATATTTATAATTTATTTATACATTTGAAATAATTATAGTTGACTTTGTTATCCAGGAAAAAAATAAAATATATAATTATCATTATATAGATTATAAATAAAAGATGCAGAGTAGTGAGAAGTAATCTCTATACAGGTATTATACATTCATGTTCAACTGATATCATTCTTTCTTCATTATTCTAATACTACATTGCCACACCTTACCAAAATGAGTTTTTTCATATATTTAAATCTCAAAAAAAAAAAAAAAAAATCCAGGTCACACACAGGTTTCTTATATGCAGTTAAACTGCACATGTTGTTGGAATTATTCCAGGCAAGAGGTCACATGCTACTAATTATGTTTAGTAGCTAAAAGAGTATTATTATTGCAATCAAAATTGCAGATTGCAAATCATTATTACTGTTCTGGAAATTAAGTAATAGAATTGAGAGATGTATTAAGACAGATTAAAGGCAATCTCGCTGAAATTGATATGCAGCAGACACCTTTGGTCAGGTAATAAATAAACACTGTTTGAGTTTAATAGTTACCTGACATGGAATAATATTTTTTAAGTCTGATTCATAGTATTAAGTATTAGTTTTAAGTCTGATTCATAGTATTCCTTGTATTGGACGAAGAAACTTGATATCAATATAATTGAAAATATATTTCAGATCAGGAGTTTTAAAACTAGAAAGGAGGTGATATAACAAGAAAATTTAATCAAAAGTAGTATCAATGAGTTTATTGTGGCCAGAAATTAGGCTAATGTTTTGATTGACTGTAAAAAATTATATTGAGAAATAATTAGTGTTTTGAAGTGCTTGCATATGCTATTTGATAACCATTTCTTTTTAGGAATACTGAAATATTAAAATGACTATCATTATTTTGAGTGTTAGGCCCTAACCTTTTTCATGTTAAAATAAAACCTACTAAAATACAAACAAAGAAAGAAACAAAACACAGAAAAACCCTACCATCTGCCTGAGAAAAGAACGTAGTTGGCCTAAAGAGAAATAAAATCCTAGTATGTTGCCTAAAAGGGTGTATCCAAAACTGTGGTTGGAGTTTATGAATTTATGACAGACAGTTCTAAGCAGTCGTCAGTCCAGCATCATGCTTGGAGTTGATGACAATGACAGCAATTTTTACACCCATTATGAAATTGAGACTATCTTCAATTTTCTTTATCTTCCCAATTCCAGTCAAGGGGATCACTTGGCTAGGTACTTAGAAGATGTTTTCTCTGTATAAACTTTAATTATAATATATTAATAATATATATAACATATATTAATATTATATTATTGTTTATTACATTCAGTTCTGAGACCCCCAGCACAAGAAGGACATGGAAGTATTAAAACAAGTCCAGAGGAGAGTCACAAGGAAGATCAGAGTGCTGGAGCACCTCTCCTATGAAGACATGCTGAGGGAGTTGGGGTTGTTCAGCCTGAAGAAGAGAAGGCTCCGGGAAGACCTCATTGCAGCCTTCCAATACCTAAAGGCGGCCTGCAGGAAAGCTGAGGAGAGGCTCTTTGTCAGGAACGAAGAGAATGGCTTTAAACTAAAAGAAGGTACATGTAGATATTAGGAAGAAATTCTTCACGCAAAGGGAGGTGAGGCACTGGAACAGGTTGCCCAGAGAAGTTGTTGATGTCCCATCCCTGGAAGTGCTCGAGGCCGGGTTGGATGGGGCTTTGAGCAACCTGGTCTGGTGGGAGGTGTCCCTGCCACCTCCCAGGTGGGGGGTTGGAACTGGATGATCTCTAAGGACCCTTCCAACCCAAACCATTCTATGATTCTGTGATCTCAAATGGCTCAGCTACTTGGAGATGTATTCTCTTACCTCTCCGAAACCACAAAGAAATGCACTGGAGTATGGTGTACCATTGCAAGTGCTACCAATTTCTTGGGTCTGGCTTACAGAATAAATTGCTCTCATGTATTTGCTAAATTCAAAATCTTGTTAAAGGGAAAATAAGCACATCTTATTCACAAACAAGGAGTTGTTATTCTAATATGTCTTAAAAGATTAGTCAAAGTATAATTATTAGTCCAGTTACAATATTAACACTTATGATTAAAATCATGTACAAATTAGGTTAGTATATACAAACAGTGTAGTATCTCCTTGTTACTGTAATCCTGTGTTTCTGGGTCCTAAAACTGGTGGTTTTGGTTCAGGGAGAGGGAAGGATTACAGCCAGATATCAGCATCATAAGTAAGACTGTGGTGTTCATGATTCCTTCTTCCTCTCTTTTCAGTCTGCCCGAAGTAATTTTAAACGTTTTTATAATATGCTCTATGCCTTTTGTTATTGTTGTTGTTGTTTGTTTGTTTGTTTTGTGTTTTTGTTTTTGTTTGGTTTGGTTTTGGCTCACATTTCCACAATACATATGAATTTACTGGGCATTTACTTATTTTACTTATGTTAGGTACTTGTTCACTGTTCTTGTTGTTGTTGTTATCCTTAAAAGTATCTTTACCCTGCTCCTAAATTACATTTCTTTTAATGACCATTAACAGACCACTGTTAAGTCGTTTATAGCCCCAGGGCCTCTGGTATCATCCTGTGTCCACAGCTGAAACATCACCCTGTTCCAGTTCTCCTTTGTTTGCATTTTTTTCTAGGGCCATTAATAGCTCATTCTGTGTTGAATAGCTGCTTGCTATTACCCCATACATTCATTTACAGGCTAAAATTGGGCAGGTAATAGTTGCTTGGTAATTGGATAACTGTTGTCAGTTAAACAAGCCTGAATATAACTCCGGCTAGGCCAAAACAAGTCAAGACAGAGCCTGATAGGTTGATAGGTTCTGATTCCTGGGCCATTACAAGCAACACCGATATACTGGGCAACAAATGTATAATCCCAAAGTCTTTGCTTTAAGTGTCAAGGCAAGAATGAAGAAGGTACACAGAATTTTGTTAGCACTGAAACATCTACAGTACAGGACACGGAACCAAATAGACATGTACTTATAGTTTTTCAATGGTGGAAAAGAGTTATAAAGAAATAGAATAACAAAACACATTGCCATAACCATACTTAAAAGAAACATCTTAAATACTCTAGTCTTTCAGGTTGGCTCTGAGTCTGTTGGGTTAGTTTCAGTGAGCTATTCCCAGGCTGTCATCCTTGAGAGGGTTCTTGGAGATGAATGATTTCTACTTGAACTGTTCATGTTGGTTAGAGAAGCTGTTTGGAGCAGTTTCTTCTTTGGCCCATAATCAAAGATCTACTATTTTCTCTCTTACTTGTTTACTACTCACCGTTTTCCTCTGTGAGAACACCAAGACATAATACGGTGCCAAGAGGATCATGCAATCTCTTTTCCCCATCCTCCTGAAATTTACTTGATTAACATTTTTATTGCATATCTTAATTAGTGCATTCCTAGCTTTAGGCATCAGGCTGCTTTCTCCTGCTTACAGCCTTGCTAGAATTCATTGATTTTATTTTACAGATTCTACAGCATGGGAAATATTAATGGTACAAAATCCTTTCAGTATTTAAATATTTGGTTTGTTTCAACTTTATATAAGGGCCATAAAAACATGTAAAAATTATTTGAGAATTAGCATTTGAGAAGGAACTTCATTTACACTACATTAGATTTCAGGAAGCTCATTTATATTGGAAAAAAAAAAAAAAAAAGTTGTACATCTTTAAATACAGGCAAATATAAAGGAATACAGTTAGTAGCATTGTTCCTTTACTAGCTCAATTATTGGAAATGTAGGTATTTCTTTGCCTAGGACCAGAAAGCTGTGTCAAAATACTTCCAGATCTGCAGAAAACACAAATGGAAAGGATGTAGTCTCTTCTTTTTAACTGACAGTTGAGTGGTTATAAAACTCACTGTAGAATGGTATTTCAGGTACCTGGGAACATTTCCCAAACCTGATGGAGTTTGCTAATCACCATATTACAGCATATTCTGATTCAGGGCTCTTGTGGTCTGTCTTGCTAAATCCTTTGTGCTTTTTATAAAATGCTTAAATATTTTTGATGGAGCAGAGACTTGAATTCTACCCTGAAAACTGTGTTATCATTATATTAGTTGTCGTTCTTGCATGGTCTGTTTCTTCTTCCCCCAGATATTTCACGATTCAGAGCACAGAGGAACAGTTTCAACAGGATGCTTCAGTATTTTGAATAGGTTGGATTGAGTTGGTCCCTGGTGCATGGTAACTTCTGGACACTCTGTCCTCAGAAAGATTCCTTGTGGTGGGGAGAGACCCTTCATGCCTAATGTGTGATTGCGAATTCCATCAAGTAGCAGGTTAATTACAAGCTGTCCAGTGCAATGAAATTCTTGTGGATTGAGCCTAATGTTAACAGGAGTTTAAGGTAATGAAATGAACAGCTTTATTTTCTACATTTCCTTTCTTTTTCTAGACATAAGCTATGAAGCATCCTATGCTTGTTACGGAGGCATGCAGCAAAATTAAGTGCTGTGAACTGTAGGTTTAAGTGAGAGGAACACCTTCTGTCTCTTCTTTCTTTATGCACTGCAAATCAGATAGTGATAACTACAATTTATCTCTAAATCACATTAAAAGTAAATTCTCATATCATTATGCCTTTAAAGGAAGTCTGCACTTGGCACATATCGGGGCCTCTACATATCTCTTATTTCTAGGAACAATTTCTTTGCTAAACTTCCTTGCTTGTTTTATATGAAAATGATCCCATAGGATGGAATGAGGCCAAGTGTTGCATTGGCCAAAATACGGGGTGATGAATATAATTGGGTTTTTATTTATTATGTGACTTGGCATTATGATACCTGAATTATCTACACAGGCCTACACTAGACATCTAAGAAAATGAGCCTGCTAGCTGGATTCTGTGCCTGGAATTAATCAATCATCCATATGTTGCTCCTCTCCTCATCACTTTAAGGAGTCAGGTATGCACAGATGCTTTTGGCTGTCTGGAGGGTGACATGGAGTGGGAAGAGAGCCTTATCCTGCCTGTCCTTGTCTCTTTTCAAGGAAGCTTTTAACACCATTCTACCTTTCCAGATCCTAATTCTCATGTTTTTTTTTTTTTTTTTTTTTTTTTTTTTTTTTTTTTTTATTATTATTATTTTATTTTCTTTTTTTTTGTTTGTTTGTTTTGTTTTGTTTTGGTTTTTTGGAGGCAAGGAATGGACTTAACTGTGGTTTTCATTTTATTTGAAATTGTACATCTATTTAAGCTAAGTGTTAGGAATCTTATTTTCCTAGTTTGTGATATGCTAGCGGCAAGCCCAGTTACCATCTGGATGAGTTGATTTGTGTTGTTTTCCTCACATACCAGAATTGGAATTTTTGTTCCACAAATAACGCCATTCTCATTTCTTTGAAATTGTCCCTGCTAATCTGTCTAGATATCTCCAGTATATGGTATGGGAAGTACCTTTCCATGCAAAACTAGAGGGGAAAATATACTGATTATACTAGAGGGGAAAATGTACTGAAAATATACTGATCTTTTATACTGATAATCAGTATAAAAGAAATGTTTCCACAAGTTATAATTTGTCAGCCAATTCCACAGATCATGGTAATTCCAGGAGAGGAAATGCGTTGTCTCTTGTCACAGAAGGCTAGGAATCAAACACATCACATTTAATAATAATTTTTGATCACAAATAGTGTAAAATTCCTTTGTGTGTATATTTTATCTCGTGAAGTCAGAAACACAATCAATAAATTCTGCAAAAGTATTGTGTTGAGAAATAATATATTCATGGGATTAAAAACATGAGAGATGTGTTCTATATAAAAACTGTGATATTTAATTATTCAATTAAATTTCTTTTATTTGTATGTAGTTTGTGAGAACATTGTAACTTTCAAAGAACATTTGGCTATTCAGAGTAAATCTGGGTGTTCAGGTTGCTTAAATATTCAGTATGCACAGTGTATCTACTACTCTTCCTGAAAAACAACACTTATCAACCTGCTTTGCAAATAATATTGTACACATTATAACCAATATGATTATACTGGTAAAAACAATGATGCTGCTATGGTCCTATGAAAATGATTCATACTAAGAACATAATTCCTGTATCCTCAGAGGAACAGTATTTCTGATAAAATCGAGTATCTACCCTGTAATAGGTATAGAATATTTCTGTCTGCAGAACAATTAGAATTCTTACAATTAGAATTCTGATGTGAGTATTCAGATATATACAATAGTTTCTATTTCAAGAAATATAATTGTTCAATACAGTGTGTAGTTGTTCTGAATTGGAAAATGAGAAAACAGTTTGAATGAGTATCCTCACTCATGGTTTCCCAACATATTATTCCCAGAAAATGAAGTATAAATGAATATGAAATGAGTGCAACCAAAATAAATCAGTTTAAAATGTCTTTCTCTACCCCAATGATTTTATTCCTTTTAGACATGCCTTCTCAGCTCCATGCAAAATACATGGTATAACGTGGAAATATGCACCTCTCCTTTTCTTTTGTTTTGCTAACAATTTGTTCACTAATTTAACATAATTTACAGAATTGTGCAATGAGTAACCACTGACTTTACAGCCTTGTCCTAATAAATAACAAAAATAACCATCAAACAATGAAAGAAAATTAAACTAAAAATGATGTTGTGAAGGCTGTGGAAGAGTCAGTGACTATGGCATCGTATATATTTTGGCCTCACATTCAACAATTTTGGAAGTGGAAGAAAAAAAATATGGAATTTGACAAAATAACAATGAGAACACACATATGTATGCCCATACATCTACAAATATATATATATTTATAGCTTTTTTTGCATGTGGCTCATGAAGCTCTATTAAATGACAGTTGGCTTTATGATATTCAGTGGTTTAAATATGACAGCCACTAACACACTGATAAACTTTTCTTATGGATTCCTCTGGTTTCATTATCATTATTCACAATGTAAAGTCTTAATGAGAGCAAGTGTGAATTTGCTCAGAATTAAATAAAAATAGAGGTCCAGTTTTTCAGTACAGCTCCACGTTGAATTCATTGGTGAAATTTATTAAAAAAATAAATAAAATTGTATGACTGGCCTTATGTTATTTATTATATACAGCACAACTTGCAAAACCTATAGAGTTCTGGTTGTTTGCAAATATCCAGACATCTGAAATGATTAAAGTCCAGCATGGAAATGTGTACTTTATTAAAAATTTGAGCTAGCTTTTTCTATTAACTCATGAACAGCATATTAAAATGTAATGGATCTCTAAGTTTATCAAATTAGAAAGTAAGCCATTGGGAATCTACCCCATAATAACTTAAACACAGTATATCCTGCAGCCCCACAACACTTGAGGCTGAATGAAGTTTTCTAATACACTGCACAATTTTAGTCGCAGCATATAAGGCTCCATTTTAGGGCCGGTACTTTTCAATATTTTTATAAACGATCTGGATGTAGGAATAGAAGGTATTTTGAGCAAGTTTGCCGATGACACCAAACTTGGAGGAGTTGTGGACTCGAATGAGGGTGGAAAGGCCTTGCAGAGGGATCTGGATAGGTTGGAGAGCTGGGCGATCGCCAACCGCATGAAGTTCAATAAGAGCAAGTGCCGGGTCCTGCACCTGGGACGGGGAAACCCTGGCTGCACGTACAGACTGGGCGATGAGACGCTGGAGAGCAGCCTAGAAGAGAGGGATCTGGGGGTCGTCGTAGACAGCAAGTTGAATATGAGCCGGCAGTGTGCCCTGGCAGCCAGGAGGGCCAACCGTGTCCTGGGGTGCATCAAGCACGGCATCGCTAGTAGGTCGAGGGAGGTGATTGTCCCGCTCTACTCTGCGCTGGTGCGGCCTCACCTCGAGTACTGTGTGCAGTTCTGGGCACCACAGTATAAAAAGGACATGAAACTGTTGGAGAGTGTCCAGAGGAGGGCTACGAAGATGGTGAAAGGCCTGGAGGGGAAGACGTACGAGGAACGGCTGAGGGCACTGGGCCTGTTCAGCCTGGAGAAGAGGAGGCTGAGGGGAGACCTCATCGCAGTCTACAACTTCCTCGTAAGGGGGTGTCGAGAGGCAGGAGACCTTTTCTCCATTAACACTAGCGACAGGACCCGCGGGAACGGGGTTAAGCTGAAGCAGGGGAAGTTTAGGCTTGACATCAGGAGGAAGTTCTTCACAGAGAGAGTGGTTGCACACTGGAACAGGCTCCCCAGGGAAGTGGTCACTGCACCGAGCCTGACTGAATTTAAGAAGAGATTGGACTGTGCGCTTAGTCACATGGTCTGAACTTTTGGGTAGACCTGTGCGGTGTCAAGAGTTGGACTTGATGATCCTTAAGGGTCCCTTCCAACTCAGGATATTCTATGATTCTATGATTCTATGATATAGGCTAAAAATGAAACTGTTGAAATATCTACCTACCTCCCACAAGATGCTGCAGAAATTCAGTAGTAGGGTTCAAGGTAAAGACAATTTGACTTGATCCCTAACCTAGTGAAGTCAATGAGTTTTTGTATACTGCTTTCGTTATGCTTTATGCTTGAAGGTATGTGGGGAATACCAATACATCTCAACTGCATTTTTACTGGAAAAGGACAAGAAAGACAAAAAAGTAAAGTAGGCAGGAGAGAGAAGAACAATTATCAACTTTGAAAAATAAAGAGTTCTGTAACTTCTATAAAAATCATTATTGCAAAACCTGTTAAAATTATGCTCTTTTAAAAGCAGAGAACAATCTCCCCTTGTTTCACAAAAATGATAAAAAAAGAAAATGAGTCCATTTAATGTGAAATTGAACTTCTGTGAAATATGAACTTACTGTTTCATATATTTATTCATTTATTATGATTCAAAATATATGGAAATATCCAACAGTCAACAGTGTCATGAACTCCAAGTAATCTGGATAAAGAATATTTGGGAACAGATCAGAGAGAAGTTAGAGAAGCTGTGAATTCAGTTATCCTGTCACAATGTATAATGCAGTTATTTAGTGAAAGAACTCAGTTTGTTCTGAACTTTGGCAGGAAAAAAAAAAAAAGAAAAGAAAAAAGAGAGAGAAGATAAATGCTTAGTGCAGAAATTCGTAAGGTGTATTGAGATTGAGGTCTGATCTGCTTATTGTTATTTGTTGAGAATTAGATCCAAGAAAGAGAATATGTACTTAAAAGTTAGTTTATCCAGGAAGTGAGGAATAACACTTCCTTGTCTTTATTTTAAATTTATTTCAGATTTGTTCTCACATAAGTGAAAAATTCTTTGATTAAGAGAAAGTAAAGAAGAGAACTCTAGGTTTACCATAGCAAGCAAGGAGGCAAGAGGAACTTTGTTTAACTTAATGGCATTCATCAGGAAGAAGGAAGATATCCTTTCTATTTGTCCTTAAGTCCAGCAGGCTCTTCTATCATCTGTTTTTGATCCCAGATAGTACCATAGAGCTATTTAAGAATTTGTAGTGAACACATTTTGGCAGGTCTAGAAAAATAAACAATTAAGAGGACTACACATGCTGATAATTCAAGACATTTTGAGTCCATTGAAAAGCAATTTATCTTAATAAATATTTGATAATATCACAGAATCACAGAATTCTAGGAATTGGAAGGGACCTTGAAAGATCATCTAGTTTAATCCTCATATTAGGAAGTTGATTAGAAAGATGGTATTACACTTGATCAAGATCATCACAATATGTCTCCAGTCTTCAGTGAGATCCTGTAGAAAAATAGTCATAGTTTGAGAAAATAGGATATTTCTGTCACTGCAGACAATATTTCTTAGGGTAGACTGCCCAACTTCTCTCAATTTATTAAACTTAGCAATTTAAGAAATAGTAACAATAGGCTGAATGTCAGAATCCCACTTTTTAAACTAGTTACTTTTTTCAAGAATTTTGCCCAGTTAATCCATCACTTTATCCACTTTAAATCTTTAACAAAAAGAGAAAGCTCTCCACATAAATTATATCATCTGAAAGCTGTTTTCTAATATTCAGCCTTTGCTGTAATATTTTCCTGAAAAGGGTTGTCACCTACACTCTAAAGCCTTTTTACTTTAAATCACTAAGTTCACTGAATGCACATAACTCCAATTAACTGCAGCCTGGTGGCTCAAAAGCAATTTGGTCTTTCATTAATTACTCAGGTAAACATGGGGAAAAGCTCTTTTAGTTTGCCTGAATTCACAGAACAAACATTCCTCTTTCTTTGATGATCCAAGACAATCTTGTCTTTTGATGTTTATCACTTAGTTGTTCAATAAAATGTAATTAAAAACAAAGACAACAACATCCCCCTATCACCAACCCTGAGTTACAGTTAATTGTCAGGCTTTCAAACTTACTCTTACAGTGCAAAGCTTTATTGCACTTTAGGTCATAAGGCTATTTGTTTAATCTCTTTCCTTGTGGATTGACTCTCCTGAGTCTCACAATGGGATTTCTAGACACAACATTTAGTTATAGCTGCTTGGATGCTTTTCTCAATTAGTTTTGTATATAATATAAGCAAAATCCAAAAAAGTTTTTTTTATTATTATTATTATTTTTATTTTCCCCAAAGTATAAATCAATTCTGCTAGAAATCCAGAACTATTAATGATGCTCAGCAAGCCATTTGATCAGTTTATTCTGCCTTTCAAGTTGGAAAACAAAACAAAACAAAGACTAGCAGTAATAGTTGGTTAAGATGACTTCAGATTTCATATAGAATTTAAAAGGGGTGAAGGCCATTAGAAAATGTATAAATAAAAAAAAAATCCAAGTAAATCCAATCCAGTGAATGCAAAATCAGTAGAAGGTACTGAATTGTTTAATATGCCGAATCATGACAAAAGTTACCAAGGCCTTCAGAAACTAAATTGAGCAGTGATAAAGGTATGCAATAAGTAATTATAAAATTAATGGACTGTTATTCATCTACCTTTTTCATGTTAATGAACAAATTAGTCTTGCATGTGAGTGTACCACATCTGTTTGTGCCGACATACACAGAGAGACACATCCACATGTCACCCAAGCTGGCTTGATTGCACTTTGCGGGACATATTTGTATACATTTTATCACCGTTTCTGTAAACAGCAGTTTCTTTCAGTATGTTCCATGCTCTGTGCCTAGGTCTTAATGGAAGTGTTAATTAGAAGCGCAGTAGGAAAACAATTTATGCTTCTAAACATGTCTTCTGTATGGAGTTTGAGTAATGAGAAAAAACAGGCCAGAACATTTATATGAACAGATTCCAATTGCTGTTTCTGAGTCTAACATTCTCACTTATTGCCAAGAGTGCAGCACAGAATGATGAGACAGCTTACGAGAAATTTTAAATAATCAATAAAAACACCCATAGTACCCAATATCCATAAAAAATAAATTTACATGTTTAGTTGAAGGTTTGCTTTCCTAAAACCTCATTCTTCATTTTGCTTCATGTATCTCCTGAAGTCTCTGCACGCTTACCTAGATGAAATTCTTGACAAACCTGGGAAGCAGTGGCAGGACTTTGCCTGATCGTATCTATTTGGTTCAAATATAGTTTGTATATACCCAAGTGATACCTTCTGTAGTCAAAAATCAGGTTCTTAGATGCTCGGGAAAAAACAATGCCCAATCCTTTATTCCTGAAATTAATCACAGAACTGTCTAGGTTGGAAAACACCTCAAGATCATCGAGTCCAACCTCTGACCTAACACTAACAAGTCCTCCACTAAACCATATCGCTAAGTTCAACATCTAAATGTCTTTTAAAGACCTCCAGGGATGGTGACTCAACCACTTCCCTGGACAGCCCATTTCAATGCCTAACAACCCTCTCAGTAAAGAAGCTCTTCCTAATATCCAACCTAAAACACCCCTGGTGCAACTTAAGCCCATTCCCCCTCATCCTGTCACCAGGCACAGGGGAGAATAGACCAACCCCTACTTCACTACAGCCTCCTTTAACGTACTTATAGAGAGCGATAAGGTCGCCCCTGAGCCTCCTTTTCTCCAGGCTGAACAATCCCAGCTCCCTCAGCTGCTCCTTGTAAGCCTTGTTCTCCAGACCCCTCACCAGCTTCATGGCCCTCCTCTGAACTTGCTTGAACACCTCCATGTTCTTCTTGTAGCGAGGGGCCCAAAACTGAACACAGTACTCGAGGTGTGGCCTCACCAGAGGTGAGTACAGGGGGCCAATCACTTCCCTAGCCCTGCTGGCCACACTGCTTCTGATACAAGCCAGGATGCTGTTGACCTTCTTGGCCACCTGAGCACACTGCTGGCTCATATTCAGCCAACTATCAACCAATACTCCTGGATCCTTCTCTGCCAGGCAGCTCTCCAACCACTCATCTCCCAGCCTGTAGCTCTGCTTGGGGTTATTACACCCCAGGTGCAGGACCCGGCACTTGGCCTTGTTAAACTTCATACCGTTGACCTCAGCCCATCAGTCCAGCCTATCCAGATCCTCCTGCAGAGCCTTCCTACCCTCAAGCAGATCGACCCACATGCACCTAACTTGGTGTCATCTGCGAACTTACTGAGGGTGCACTCGATCCCCTCATCTAGATCATTGATAAAGAGATTAGAGGACTGGCCCCAGTACCGAGCCCTGGGGAATGCCACTAGTGACTGGGTTAACTGAGAATTTATCAGGAAAGGGCAAAAAGGGGTAGAATGGGGTGGGGTGTGAGGGGTGATAACAGGATAGACTTTAGTATGATTAGGTAGAGAGCTTACATTGACATGTTTATGGTGATGGATGATTAACTTTATAAACCAAAGAATGTTTAACCCTGAAAATAAATTTGTAGAATAGCGATAAAAGAATCCCAGAAGGGGAGGAAAACAAACAATGAGAAAAATGTTAAATAGATAATACATAATAATAGATAATACAGATAGCAAAGGATAAAGGACAATAGGAGAAATAAAAGATGCTATCACTGCATGGGGCTTCTAATTGATTACAAAGTAGTAGAATGAACACCGAGTCTTATGAAGAATATAGTTTGATTATTTACCACCTGATTTTTTTTTTTTATTTTTATTTTTTTTCAGGAATTCATTGTACTTCATATATCACACACAGTCGGAGTGGAACAGTAAGTATACATGTATAATTTTCCACTGCTTAAATACACTTTTTGTTGTAAATTGAAAACCTTCAGCTTCTTTAACTTTCCATACAGACAGACAAAATGATCAGCAGTTTAGTCATCCAGAACTATGGTGGGTTCCTTCAGAATTATATTTCCTGTTTACTTGTCTGGTGCCTGTAAGCTGCTATTATTGAGTGAGGTGATACAGACATTGCTCTCTTCTCTCTTTCCCCAGAGATGTAGTGAAATCCATGATTTTCACAGGTAGGAGTATTACAGATTGTCCTCCTCCCCCTTTTTTTCCCCTGTGACTATAACGATAATTTTGTAGATATAGCAGGCATCATCAGTATATTCTAGATAAAAAGGAAATGAAATTTCAGAGATGGATGCAGTGTTCATATATATATACCTATATATTTATGTGTATATACTGAAGGATACACATGAAAGTATTGCTAATAATTCTACACACAACTCTTTACTTTTTAACTGTAGGGATAATCTTCAAATTTATTCATTGTCCTGTCAACATGAAAGTCAATAGTGAAACCCATTGACCATATTTCAGACAACTGAAAAATCTAAGGCCCCACTAAGGTAACCACTAAGGATGTTGTTATCTCACAATGAGATTATATGAATGTAGAATTTGGAATATCACATATATCAAATCCTTGGTGGGGAACGGAGGGAGGAAAAAAATGATGTTAAGGCTTCTGAGAATGCTTTATTCCATTAAAAAACTTCAAAAGGAACTCTATCGCCAGATTAGATGGACTGAGATGGAATGAAAAAGTGGAGGATAGTGAAGGTGTCATTTCTTTAAAGTCTGAAAAAACAGCACTCTTTGCATAAAGCCACATCTAATGATATTTCCTGATGATGCTGGTACAGTTTGCCAGTTTGGATGAATTCATACATCCTACAATGCAAAAGTGTTCATGGTTTTTAAAGTGTCCTCTTTCATTCTCCGATGTTGATGAAAGATAGCAAACATGACAGAAGCAGGTGGACACTGTCAACAGTAGCTTCTGAAAAATGGCTATCAAATTGTGTGGCTTGAAGAAAAAAAGAGGGGAGAATAACAGAAAAGAAGAGGAGAGGGTTAAATAGATGAAAAGTTGAGAAAGAAAGTTAATCAGGGGAAAATAAGTAGGACATTAAATGTTGAAGATACTGAGTCATCTCAATGTCTAATATTTTCTAATTTGGCCAGTCTTTCCAGCTTCTGGCACCATGTTGTGGGTCCTTCATATCAAAAAAATTGTTTCTGAATTATTAAAATGCAGGTACTAATCTTACCCCACTGTCAGCGCTGATAAGGTGGAATGCTATATCAGCACTAGTCACCCATGTTTTCCTTGTCGTTACAGTGAAGAAAAATGGGCATTTTTAAGGCATGATTCATCTGACCTATTTTAGGTATTGACATTAGAATGAGACAAATAGTGCCATGAAAGTGCTTGTTTTTCTCCACTGCATGGCCCTTTCTCACATTACTACTTCACGTACAAGCAACTACAATAGATCAGATTACTTAGCTGTTTTGAACCTTTGCATTTAAACAATGCAGTGGCTTGTAATACTTGACTGTGAGGAGATGAGGGTTTTGGCTGACTGTCAGAAGGCATATTTCTTAAATTTGGTAGAGTACCAAGCTATTTTTTATTCTTCCATTTTATGAGCAAATTGAAGCACTAAAAATAAAGAGGAGTTTCAGGTACACCAAAATGTTTTGCATAGTCTAAAGCAAATCTTTAATTTTACCTTTTATAAATATTTTAAAATATTTATGGCACACATAAAATTTGTAAAAACTCCAGTTTTATTTTAAAGTTGAAAAGACATTCAGTTGCCTTTTGAAATGCTATCTTTCTTCTTTGAAAATGTTTGGAAAACTTTATTTAATTTGGTTTGGCTTAAAAAGCACTTTTGGCTAGTAAAAGATTTGGGAAAAAAAAAAAAAAAGTTTGCTCAGCTGTAATGGTTAGATTAATTGTGTTTTTTCTCTGAGTATGACTGTGAAATGATTGCTTGTTCTTGCCCAAGTTCTCTATGCTAATTTGACTATACAGTAGCTGGCAACCAAGCAGTTGGCTGCAGAATGTTTTACTTATTTATGAAGTCCAGAGGCGTGATAGGCAGGTTGCCAATTATTGTCCATTAGCAGCTGTGATACAGGACATGAGAAGTGTGAAGAGGACAGGAATGTTCAATGTTTGTAAGAAGCTGCAAGATCCAAGTAGTAATGATCTTTCCACACAACTTCAAGTGGGGTTTGGATTCTTGCTGGGGTATTTAGCACCTGTAGCCTATACTGAGAGAGGCAACCTAGAAATCTTTCCCTTCAATGAGAGAAAATGCCATAGTAGCAGCAGCAAAAGAAGAGGAACTATGACAGTGTGCTAGGGAAAAGGCAGAAGTCATGGGACTTCCCTGGAAATGCCCTTAGCAAGGAGGAAGGTGCATAAACAAGGCAGAGAAAGGCACTAGTGAAGAGCTACATGACTGTTAGAAAAGATAAATACATATAAGCTAGTTGTCCCACTAGCAGCTGCCTACCACGAAAAGCTAAGTATGTTTTATTTCCCACATGTCCGTGTGTAAACATGGGAATTTTCTTCTTATTTTTCTAATCCTTACATGCTCTGAGGAATTATCTGCTTGTAGTAGTATTTCTGCAAACAGAACTAGGAAGACATGTTTTTTACTGTAACTGTATCTGCCAGGTAAATACCATAATGACTCATTCTTTGTGTTAAGATTTGGACTTTCCCAGTGCTGCTGGCACTCAAGTGTTATTAGCATAATGTATTTTTAGTGAACTCTGTCAGCAAAGCACTGTATGGCTAATCAAGCACTCATTGGGGATAAATGGTAGACTTAATATTCTTATCAGGCTACTGGAGCTTAGAAGTTACCGACCCTTGTTCCACTTATATCAAAGCCACTTACAATGCTACTAGTTTGTAGCAAATTCATTTTCTGTTCATGTCTGATTGCCTATGATGGTGCCTAGAAACAGAAAACAGAAAATGGGAAATGGGAAGGAATGAAGGTCCCTGTTGCCTGAGGTCTTAATGCAATTTCAAGATATTGATCACATTGGATACTTCAACCTAATCCTCACAGTTTCACAGGCTTTGCAAAAGATGTTTCTCATAAGTACATTTTCAATTGTGTTCAAACCTTAGTGACTCAGTGACACTACCCTCTAAGAGGATCTATTTAGTATCACTGGAAGCTGCCAATTAAACTGGGGATTTTGTTAATTTTCTCTAGTATTTAATCTTGTCTGCTGTCCCTGTGAAGTCTGGACAGTGTAGGTCAAGGTGATGCAATGGATCAAAACCAGGCGTTGCTTCCCCCTAGCACCCTACCTTTTCCCTAAGAAAGAGCAGAACTGATTGCAGCATCACTTCACATGTATTGATGTATGCATTCGGCAGTAGATATGGCATAGTAGATATGGAGTTTGTTTTCCAGTGAGAAGAGGAACCATAGCCAAATGGGAAGCAAATAAATTTTGCCTGTGTCACAGGAAAGGAACTGTGCAGTCTGATGTGTACACTGAGATCCCTAAAAAAATCCCTTGGAGCAGACATTAGAAATAACACTGGAACAGGAATAACAAGTGTCAAACTTATCCTGTAATTTTGTTTTTGTATTGCTTTTCTGAGATTTCAGGCCAATTAGACATTGTTATTCATTCTTCTGTGGGAGGTCCAAAAAGCCTGCTGCCCTCCTGGGCTGGATCTGTATGTATGCACGTGTGCAAGTACATATACATATTTGGTCTTGCAATCATATGTATGTCCATCTATATCTGTGTGCATGTCTGCATCTGCATGTGTGTACACACGTGTGTTTTCTAAAACTTCTGTCCTGCTGGATGACAGCAATTCACATTGAAATATTAATAACCTCTGCTAAAATCATGTTGCTCACCCTCCACAACATGATTTAGTTGTGTTTCAAAATAATTCTAAGATTTCAGGGACATTCAAACCTATACATATTGCAGAGAAATAATAATAATAATTAAAAAAAAAAAAAAAAAAAAGCTCGAGCAGCAAATATACCAAAATTGTAAGTGGAATTCTTCACGAGACTTTTCTATCTTCAGTTAATTGGTCACCGGCTGACTTAAAGTAGTTAACATGCTTCTTAAAGGCTACAGGATACCACATCATTTTCTGCTGTAGGCTTTGGATGTTTCTGCTTTGCCCTAAGCCAAGATAATATTAAAAGACTGGCAAATTTTCAAATATTGATTGTGTTGTTGATAAATGTAAGTTTGATTCTTCTAGAGTAAAGTCATTTCTTTGAAAGCTGGAATATGCATAAGGGTCACTGTCCTGCTAGCTTTTATCCAACTTTAAAGGCTGACACTAGTTATTCAGTAATCAAACAAATATACTAGTGCAGTGTTGGTAAACCTACTTTAGCAGAAGCCTTAATGGTTTCCAAGATTATATAACAATTAAAGGGTAAACCTTAGAGACAAAATGACCTAGCTGTAAAGTGTCGTCTCTCAGAACTTCTACTTATATAATGTTTGTCTCACTTTATGCAAATGAAACAATCATCTAAATGGTGTTAAAACTGATCTTATCTTGGAAGTGAACTACTAAATGAAGATCAGTTTGTTTAAATGAACATTTTATGTTTTCAATGAATACTTCAAGTTTAATGTGATTTAACAGCTCCCCCAAAAATGTATTTTGGTTCTTTAGATCAAACTTTTAGAATCACAGAATCACAGAACTGTATGGGTTGCAAGGGACCTCAAGAGATCATTAGGTCCAACCCCCCTGCCAAAGCAGGTTCCCTAGAGCGGGTTGACCAGGTAGGCATCTAGACGGGTCTTGAATATCTCCAGAGAAGGAAACTCTACAACCTCCCTGCACAGCCTGTTCCAGTGCTCCGTCACCCTCACCATGAAGTTCTTTCACATGTTGGTGTGGAACTTAGTGTGATTCTTTGTTTGGACATTGCCCCTTGTCCTATCCCCACAAACCAATGAAGAGAGTTTGGCCAATTCCCAATGTCTCTCACACTTAAGATAGTTGTAGACATTGATAGGATCCCCTTTCAGTCTTCTCTTTTCAAGGCTGAACCGACCCAGGTCTTTCAGTGTTTCCTCATAGGGAAGATGCTCCAGGCCCCATATCATCTTTGTTGCCCTCCGCTGGACTCTTTCCAGAAGATCCCGGTCTTTTTTGTACTGGGGAGCCCAGAACTGGACACAGTACTCCAGGTGAAGCATGACCAAGGCAGAGTAGAGGGGGAGGATCACCTCCCTTGACCTGCTGGCAACTCTTCTTTTTATGCATGCTAGGATCCCATTAGACCTCCTTGGCCACCAGGGCACACTGCTGGCTCATGGCCAACCTGTTGTCCACCAGGACCCTCAGGTCGTTCTCCTCAGAGCTCCTCTCTTGTAGGTCATCCCCAGCCTATATTGAAACCTGTGGTTGCTCCTTCCC